TGCGCGGCGGAGGCGCCCTGCCCCGGTCCCAGCGGCTCGCGTTTCCCTCTGCAGAAGAGCCGAGGCTGTTGACTTTCCCAGGGGTTGCAAAGCCCGTTGCAGAGAGGAGAAGGGCGCCGTGCGGACGTGTCGGCGTGAGACGCCAGCGAGGCGCACTTTAGGGAAGACAAACGCATTCGTCTTTGGATAATCGGAAGCTTATGCAAGAACAGGGGGTTTGATTTCAGACTGAGCGTTACGCGTGCAAAGTTTCACTTGAACAGGGTGAATCTGGGTTATTGTTGGCCCTATTACTCCACCTCGCTCACTGAGAGGAACCTGTTAACCAAGTTGCCTTACTGGAGTGTAGAGAGGTTAGTGATGATCAGAGATCAGACCCCCAGCTTTTCAGAAATGTGCGTTACAGTTTAGTAACTTGACTTTCCAAGAGGGAGGCTAACCTGGGCTGAGTACAGGGCACCGTCCCTGGGTTTCTGTGGGTGCTGTAAATAGACCCAGCAATACAGTGAATTCTCTGCAGATTTTTCAAAAGTGCGTGTGTTTTAAGGAAATGGAGGCACCCGTTTTATTGCTCACTTTCCCAGGACAGCTTATCAGTACCAGCTTGAGATTTTGAATTCTGACTTCTTGGTGGACATCACTTGGCTCTCTCACTAATACGTAAAGCTTTCTAATATGGAATTCACTTTTTTTTTGTCCTTTTAATCGTACAGCCAGCCTCTCACCATTAAAAAAAAGAAAAAAGTATCATTTTAAACCCCCATTCTTTCAGCCTTCTTTCTACTCTCCAGCTGGTCCTGAAATCCTTTCGGTTTTTCGCTCTGTGTCTAGCATCTCTCTTCTGATTCCCACTAAACACTGTACCATATTCCCATCACTCAACGTTAACAACTGTTAGCATTTTTGTCACGTCTGTCTCGGGGTTTTTAATGAAAGGAAACATTGGAGATAAAGTCAAGCTCCCTGTGAACACCAGTTCCTTCCCCTCCCTCTGTCCTCACCTCACAGAGCCCATGTTCAGTGTGACATGTGCTTTTGAAGTATTTTATATATGCTCACGTGTACTCGTAATTAATACGTGGTATTGTTTTAGGAGCGCATACACCTATAGATGGATTCACGTGTATCTTCTGTGTTTGCTCACTTCCACTGAACGGTGTTTTTCAGACTGATCTGGGCATGCGTATATACACATCCTCGTTTTTAATTGCTCTCTGATATTTCATGGTGTGAATAATACCTCATTTTATTAATCAGTCCGTCAGTGGATGGGTAGATTGTTACATTTTTCACTGATACAGATTATGCTGTGTCACTTTCCCCGGGGTCGCACATGGGCAGTAGTTCCTTTGGCTGGATATCTAGACGCAGATTCTACATTGTGAATAGGCCCAACCTTGCTTTTAAGAGACGGCGCCAAATTGATTTTCAGCTGTTTGAAAACTGTTTCCCCAAATACTCTGCAATGCTTGTTGACTTATTTTTATTTATTAAAAAAAATTCTTTTTTCTTGTGATGAGAACTTCTAAGATCTGCTCTTGGCATCTGAGGGACTTGCAGCGTGGTGTCGGTGATGGAGCTGTCTGTGCTGCGCGCGGCACCCTCAGCTGATGCCGGGCGGCTGCTGGCTTAGGGCGACGCAGTTCCTCTCAGGGTTTCTAGCCTCACTTGGGTCCGTTCTGCTCACTGGGCGCCCCGGTCAGACTGTCCCCTGGAATCCTCCTGGCCCAGGAGCCGCCCGGCCGCCTCTCACCAGAGTGAGCCACAATGCACATCCTCAGGCTCAGCTCTTACTTTTCTGTCCCTGCAACTTGATCGTGCTCTTCTGCATTTCTTTATTGATTCAACAAATATTTATTGAGTTCTTTGCTTCCTGCCAGGTGCTGGGAATAAAGGGCCAAACAAGAAAGACAGAATCTCGGCCCTCATGGAGCAGAGGGTGGGGAGGGCAGGAAAGAAACCAGGGAAAAAATGAACAAGATGATTTTTCATAGTTTTAAGGACTAGGAAGAAAGCAAAATGGAACGTCAGTGTGACTTTGTGTGGTGGGTGTGTGTCAAGGGGACGTGTTGAGGGGTGCAGGAGAATGGATTCATCCAGGTGGAGCCTCAGCGGGGCAGGTGCTCAGGGAAGGCTTCGCAGAGGAGGTCCTGTTCCTCCTGAGACCACAGCGTGAGGCCGGTTCACAGGTCTGGCCTGGGTGCCCTGAAGACCAGGGCTGCCCCTGTGGCGGGGCGGCTGGGCCAGGAGAGTGGTGGATGCCCGAGGAGACTCAGACAGGCAGCGGCCGGCCACCTGGGGCCCCTTCCACTGCCCTGTGCCCTTTGAAGCAGTCCTCTCGGCAGGGCCTCCCCGAGCCTGCCAGCTGGAGGCCTCTGCACGCCCCCGGCGCAGGGCCGCTGGCTTTGTGAGGCGCTTTCACATCATGGTGTCTGTCTGCCCAAGAACTAATTCGTTTTCATTTTGCTGTTTTGTTTCTACCTCGTAAGGGACAGTACTCTTGTCTGGAACGAGGCAGGCAGAGGGGG